AAAAAAGTTTATCAAAAATATCAAATATTATTAATTATTTGCAGATAAAAGCTGCAAAGCTATTACTAAATTCAATTTGATGCAAATAATTCTTCAACATTAATGTATTTAATCTAATTACAGGATGAAGAAAGGATCAGATCAGTGTTTCCTGTGTCATCATTACCTCCTGAAATTCATTTGCATATTTTACAGCATTTACCGCGGTGTGATATCGATAATTGTAGATTTGTTTGTAAACGATGGAAAGAAATGATCGATTATAACATTCATTTGCTCAGAAAACATCTGGTTGATGTGCTCGAACTTCGAGAATGCAAATCTCGATTTGTTCTCAATTTAAAGTATTTTGTTTTCTGATTCCAACAAAGAGTAAATATTTGCTATCATTTTTTTATTTAAAAGAGTTTGCATTTTATTAAATTAAATTACATAAAAATCATCAAAAAGCTAATCCTAAGTGCATAATTCATAGCAGAGATATTATATCCAGCATAACTTACTGTTTTTGGTGGAAGAAATTTGCGCGAATTCAAAAATTATAATTATCTTTTAAGAGAAAACTCATTTGGAGATTATAAAATAAGACATCCAATATAAGCTGTGATATTTTTAAGGTCAGAGTTGAAATATTATAAGAAATATCTACAAAGATTCACTACACAAACAAATGAGTTATAATATTTAATTGCTTACTGCTTATGACGAGAGAAATATGCTTACGATCACATTATGTTTTATAAAAGTTATACTTCAAATTTCTGTAGGAAAAAATACTAAGTTTAAAATTGGTAAGAGTTATATTATAGAATTGAGTTGTGTGAAGTTGATTTTTCAAAATTTTCACCTAATTTTTCAAGTCAGTAAATGAAAGTTTTATCTGACATCAAGTTAGATGAGCAATATGCGAAAGAAATTAAATACTTAAAATATCAAAATTTAAGTATTTAATTTCTTGAACAATTGATGACTGATTTTGGCACAAAATTAATTCAAGTAGATAAAATATCAAAATTGAAGTATTTAATTTCTTGAACAATTGATGACTGATTTTGGCACAAAATTAATTCATCTTTGCAGTGTTCTCAGGACAATTTAAAATTTAAGTTGAATTAATTAATTCTAATGAGTTATTGATAGTTGAAATTAGAATATTAATGCTTAAATAAGCTGACATAGCATTTATGATAATTAATGTACATTTGCTAACTGTGCAATGATAAAATGGTTTATAACAAGTAAAGTAAAATTGTGCTACATAGTTAGCAGAAATAATAGAATAGAAGTACTGATTAATGACTTTTGCTAGCATTTTAATTTAGTGATTAATAAGCTAAAACTTCAATAAGGGCAAAGGTTACAGTTTTAGTATTTAAAAGATAGACATTATTAGCAACCACTATATTTATCATTTTCAGTTAATAATGCCTTGAACAACTGTTTACAACATTGATTATGCAAATGAAGTAAAGATAAAATAAATGTTAATTTTCACTTAATAAAATGACACTTATTTTTGTCAAGTTAAAATTTTAAACAACTGTTTTACAAGATTTAATTGACAATAAAAAATTTTCATTAAAAAATTTAAACTTAAATTTATGCAAATTTTTCATTTTTTAAATTCTTATAAAATTTTTGAAAATTGAAAAAATAAAATACAATTTATTTTTAATTCAAATTAAAAATTAATATGTTTTAGATCTTGCAATATTTCAAAAAGTTGGACATTCAATAATTGTACTACAAGTCGTATTTTGGGAAAGCGTAAACTTACTAAAACTTCTGATATATTTAACAATGGAAATGGACAACAAGATTATGATTTTGAACAACAACAACAACCTGCAAGCAAACTACCTCACTTGTTAATATATAATATGGAGCAAACTGTTTCTCCAAGCTCATATTTACCTGTATTGGTACCTAATATTATTCATCAAAATATACCACAAACCGAGGTATGCATGGTTTGTGACTATTTCAATTTACGTTAAATTTTTAACATAACTTATTATTGAATTAGTATGATTCTTGTTGATATTCAAGAAATTATAAATAGTATACTGGTGTTATCAAGTATTTTAGTAATCAAATACAATTATTGCATTCAAATTTCATTACAAAATAAAGTACTTTGAGATTATATTGTGTCATTGCTTCGTAGTACAAACAAATTTATTACTTTCAGTTTGAGAAAGAATTTAATTCAAAAATTACTTATATACTCCAAGTTGCTAATTACTCTAAGTTAATAATTGACATAAGTTTTCAATGAAAGAATAATGTTAATTAATATATACATATTAAAAAAAATTTAATAATATTATTATAAAGAATATTTCAAAAATTGAATTGAAATAATAATATTTCAAAGATGAAAAATTTTTACAAAAAACGTAAACTACGGTAAAATTTTGCTTTTGATTGAGTTGAAAAAGTTTAAAAGTAATTTTAAAAAATCATTTTTTAAATTCTTTCTTATATTTAATATTTTTTCAGTACCTATTCAAATATTTTAGCAGTTATTATTTGATTTTATGATTTATAACATCGCTTCAATAATAGCTGAACTATTTCGAGTACAACTGTTCACCTTCTGTTTTCTGCACTAACAATGACTATGAACTAAATTTAGAATCATTTTAAAAAAGTTAAAATTTGAAAATTTATCCATAATTCAAAGGTCTAGTAATATATTCTGTTGTAAACTGTATTTTTAATAGCTTATATTTTATAAATTAGCATTTTATATATCAAAATTCGTGTCAAAGAAATAATATGTGCTTACTTCATGGAGTGATGAATACTGCTATTTATTAGTAATTATTTTAGGATTACGGTGAGCGTAAACAACGTGAACATACGCCATCGCAATTACTTTGCGAACGATTAGCAAAATGTTTCCATGAAGCTGATATTGAATTTTTGCGATTAACTGACATGCGATTTACAGATTGTTTTGTAGATCGTTTGACTGACGCCTTTAATGGAAAAAAGATTTGTTGCAAGAAATTAGAAATTATTATGTGCAAACTCAATTATATATCTCCTGAAAAGTATAAATTTTTTTACAATATTTAATTTTAAATTAAATATAAATAATTAATATATTTGTGATAAAATTTAAAATCATGGCAGATTGTAATAAATATATAAAAGATAATACTTTATTTTATTATTTTATTTTAATTAAAATTTTAATTAAAGTCTCAAATTAATCTCCAAATTTTGCATATAAATACTAAATAGTAATATTTGAGTTTAGTCAAAAATTAGATTGGTTTGAATTTATAGAATAGCATTATCATAGTGTAATAATATGAATTATGTTATAAAAATGGTTTATTTTTTATCAGCAATAATGATTATTTTTTAAGTTTTTGACTGAATCAAAAATTTCTATTACCACTAAGTTTACTGGCAAATATTTTAAGTATAAAATTTCAAATTTGATTACATATTTGAATAATTTTCAGATTTCATCAATTTCTTCAAATGATTAAATGTGAGAGTTTGTCTCTAATGTGGCTACGTGGTAATAACGGCCATATAAGTAATTCCCGTAACTTTCTCTCACGTTTTCTCGATCTTGGATTTTTAAGTATTCGTGCTGTTACTCCTCAAATAGTAATTGGGGATGATCAATTTTTGATAGATTTTTTGAAAGATAAAGCTAGAAAATATCCCCGAGAAACGGTGCTTCAGTTAGATTATTCTTCAATTACTACCAGTGGCTTTTTTCATGCTATCGATGTTAGTTATTGATTTATTCATAACTTTTTTTAACTGCTAATAGTGAATATTTGGTAGTTTTAAATAAGCCTCTGCATAAAATAATCAAAACCAAATGCTTATTAGACACTAGCATCATTAATTATCAAGAATGACTTTTACCGTGAATAATTAATAGTATTTAAATATTTTACATGATTTAGAAATGGAGGGAAACGAACACACATTGGATTGTTAACCTCTGCGTGGTCTCGGAAGTTCTCAGTCTCAGTAATCTTCTAAGGTATTTATCGTTAAATCAAAGTAAACCTCAGGAAGGTGCATTTCGGATTCCTCATCCGAGATTACCTAATGAGGCACTTCTACTTTGGCATGACAAAGACGGACTTCATATAGCTAGCAATAAAAAACAATTTCTTGACCAAAAACTGTAATTGAATTTTGTTGCTGACAAAATGCAAATTTTATTTATGAGAAAAAATATTTTAATTAAATAAAAATAAATTTTTTAAATTAAAAAAAAA